CGGAATTTGAATTCAGGTCTATCTGATGCCGAAGTCCACATTTTTTAGAACTCTACCACATCGCGTCCCTAAAAAGGAAGAAAACAAAACAAAACAAAAACTGAAAGTTAAACCAGCGCTTGTAATACTAGAATTTAAAGCATTTTAGGCAACCGAATCAATGATACATCATTGCCTAGATGACTAACACAAGGCAATCATGCATTTTCAAACCATATCAACTAAAATTTAAACATTTTCTAATAATCTCTCTGGCATAATTGAAAAAACAAACAAACAAACAAACAAAAAAAACCCCAAAACCCAAAGCCCATCCTTGACTATTTTGTAGATTTAAGTTCCTTATGTAGTCATTGGAGCCCTGGTGGCTCAGTGGTTAAGAGCGACTGCTGCTAACCAGGAAGGGTTGGCAGTTCAAATCTACCAGCTGTTCCTTGGCAACCCTATTGAGCAGTTCTACTCATCCCATAGGGTTGCTATGAGTCAGAATTGACTCAGTGGCAGTGGGTATGGGTATTTAGTAATTACTTACATGTTTGACCTTCTATTGCATGCCCATGCAGGCAGGACTAAATTGTCCTTCCCTTCTCCCAGGGGATATAAGAAGTGCCTCTGCCTTCTGCCCTCTGAAATAGACAGTAAGCTTTAACCTGGTTGGAAATGTGTGAGTGGTGTGAACTAGGTGCATCCTGGGAAAACGCATGGTCCATGCCTGCTCCTGTGCAGCCTGCGAAAGCCCAGGAAACTCTTCGAGGACTGACACAGAGGCCCACAGCCATAACTAGCAGGAAATAGGCCTTTGGCAGCATAGATGCAAGAGAGATAAATAACTCTCATTTTGTTCTCAGGAGCTGTTTCCTTTGCAGAAATTTCTGACAGGACAGGAAACAAAAGATACACCATCCTCGACGTTAGAGTATACAGGACCAAACAGAAAATAGGCTATAGCTGAGGCAGAGCTTTCATTTAAAAGGGGTAAATTTTCCCCCCGCCTTGTAAATAAATAAGTACATAAACTAACCAGTCTGTTAAAAAATGTAAAAATAAGCTTAACTTTGTAATGTGAAATCACCATTTCTTTACTCCATTTTTTTCTTATGTTTTCCCCAATCTTACCCATGTGTGAATGGCTATTTGCCAAGTTATTTCATAATTTAGGAGAAAATAACTTCCATTTATTGAGCCAGACTGAGTGCTTAGTGCTTTTTGTACGCAATCTCTTTTAATTGCCACAATGATCCTATACAAGTTATTATTGCCTGGAAATAATTTACAAGGTTCAGTAACTTCCCTCAAGTCACAGAATAAGTAAGTGGCAGAACCAGGGTTGGGGACTAGTTCTGTCTCCAAAGCTTATCTTCTTTTTTATTATGTTGTAGGAATCCCTGGATGGTGCAAACAGTTAATGTGCTTGACTGCTAACTGAAAGGTTGGAGGTTCGAGTCCACTCAATGGTACCTTGAAAGAAAGGCCTGGTGATCTGCTTCTGAAACAATCAGCCACTAAAAACCCTATGGAGCACAGTTGCACTGTGACACTCATGGGGTCACCATGAGTTGGAGTCAACTTGATGGCGACTGGTTTATTTTGTTGCCCCGAAGATGGGAATTTTAACTGCTTTTAAGCAATTGCGGGTGTTCTCACTAATGCTCAGAGAAGAGTTCACTGGTAAGGCCAGTCCCTAACACAAGTCTGAATGCTCCTGGAAGGACTAGGTTTTTTCATATTGCAAGTATCTAACACAACATCTGACACATAGTCGATTCTCCATAAATATTTGTTGAATAGAAATTTCACTGCTCACATAGACTTGGCCTATTGATGAAGTTTCAGATAGGTTCCCTCTGGACATTTGAAAGGCATGGCTGACATTTGGAATACCACTGGGGTCTCACTTTTGATTTTTATGATATAGAATGACCACAAATGGAAAAGTGGCTTTGCATTTGGACATGAGGAGACATTAAGCAATCAATGGGATTCTGAATGCAAATCTAGGTAAAATGAAAATGGGGAGAATATATAAAGATACAAAGGTGCTTCTGGGAAACATGGGTTGTGCTCTTTTTCTCCTCTATTTCCAGAAAGATGTAGGACACTCGGTTGTCCTGACTGTACTATCCTATTGTTCTTGGTGATCTCCAATCCTGAAATGCAAAACCATATTTTTCACAAATAAATCTTGACATGAGTTTGCTATATTTTCACAACCCAAAACATCATACCTCATTCTCATTCATACACGAGTTTGACAGATATGAGTCAGAAAAGTATCAGCACTTCGGGGAAATGTGGAAGCTGAAGGGTGGCCCTATTTCCATAACCTGGGATTAATTGGCATGTGATGTCTTCATGAATATGGGCTATTTCTGCAGCTTCTGTAATGCAAGGGGAATGTGTCACCTGGACCATATTTGCATCTGTGCTCTTTCTCTGAAAGTTTTCTCTCCTCAGCGGTGGGTCCTTTTTATTGAAACCAATTGGTTGGTTGATAATATGTTACATGGTAAGAATCAGTATATTTTCATACTGTGATATTTTTAAGAAATTATCTTTATTTTCAATTGTTCATCTAGGCATGCCAATGAATATTTAGGCCACATTTGGAGCAAAACTCACAAGGTGGTTTTTTCAAACCTCACATGTGTACAGAAAACAACACAATTTTAAGGGTTTGCTTAAAAGAACAAAGCATAAGAAATACAGTGAGATACAAGCTCATAACCAAATCCAAAACAGTGAGCAGATCTGATTCAACATGAGAAGAAGTTACTAAAAACAAGGCTGTGTTTTATAGGAAGCATTATCTGAAGATAAGGTTGCAAGATGCTCTCCAAGTCCCTTGGTGGGAAGCCTTAGGCGGATAGAAACAGAGCCAGATTTTTGCTTAGCCTATCAGGGAGTAATGGGTAGGTCAAGGTTTCATGAAGAAGGTTCTGACTATTCACTGCTGTTGTTAAAAGGAAAAGCCAGCTTTCTACCAGGCCTGGCAGTGATAATATATTCTCTCTCTCTTAATTTGATTTTAACTTTACCTTTAACTTCTGACAAACAGCCCTTTGATTCCTTTCTTCTCTAGCAATAAAAGAGTTAAACTTAAGTCAACTATTAATGGTTCACAGACTAGGAGAAGAAAAATTGTAAAGATGAAATCCATAGATAATTCAATAACTGTGTTTTAACTAGTAAATGGACTCCCTCTGCATAAATATTTGCAAGAGAGCCACTTGTAGGCAAAAAAAGTTTTCACAAACTTTGTCTTCTTTTGCCCAAGAGTGAGGAACACAAGAAGTCTCCAGATGATGGAATGAAGGAGGAGACAGGTGCATTAGTTCATGCATTGTGTCTCATTTTGCTTCAGATATTTATTGTACTAGTAGCTACTTCATAGACTTGACCATAAGATATTTGGTACTTTTCTGTGAGCCCTTCCTCAAGATCTAATTATAACATAAACACTTTTGCCCTATAAACTTGGAACTACTAATAACATCTCCAATATTATTTATTAAATTATAGTGTAATTATAATTATAACAAGGTCCATTTTCTAAACTCAAGGTAGAAGACTCATTGGCTAAAATAGTATCTTTGTTCCTATCTGTATTTTATCATCCCCAGTGATTGCTTTCCTTGATTTGATCATGGACATTAAAAACAGACTACTCAAAAGCCCTCTTTGCATCATCAAACCACAGAAAGAGAGGTTTGGAAGCAGGAATACATCCAACATATTCTCTTTTGGGGCCTCACCAAGCTGAGAGCTTCAGAGCATTACAGTAAATATAAAAATGTGTGTCAGTTTATAGTTATTACAGAAAAAAACAAAGTTAGTGTTAAGTTTTCACAACTTCTTTTCTTACCCATATCAATAATTTCAACTTATCCACCCATTTCATAAGGTTTTCAGAACTTTCTTTAGCACCGTCTGACACTCTTTCCTACTTTAATGAAAACATAACCAGCTCTCCAAAATTTCCCCTAAGCCTAACTCGGCTAACCTCAGTCTCTCTACAGGAACTTATCACAATCCAGTCAAGTTTCTAACATTTCATTTGTATGTCAGGAGGAAAACAAACAAAACAGTTGTACTCCAGGAATGAGGTTTAGCTGTCATTCTATCATGCTTGAGAAACAGCTTGATAGTGGTGGAAATTCTCCTCCCACTACCACAGTATTTGCAGGAAAACGAAGGGGCATCACCAATTTTCATCTAACGTTAGTTACGTTAAGAACTTCTAAAGAAAGAAATTCAGTGCACAGAGCTTAGGAGACTAGAGAAGAATGCTGTAATAAATTGATTTCATGGCCAAATATCTGCAGAAAAACTGGCAATAAAATTCTAAGGTGACTATGTTACCTAGAACCATAATTAACCACAACGACATGTGGGGAAGGTAAAGTCTTTCAGAAAACCAAAGTATTTTCTTTACTTAAATAATGTTAACTTCAGCTAAGCAGCTGGATAACTGTCATATGAAACTAAGAAAAAAAGGAAAATCCAGTTACTATTAACACCAAAGAAATGAATGCCAATCTTAAACCAAAGATACTTTGGTACTATAGCCATAACAGACAAATGTGTGGTATGGGAGCAGGGAATTTTCTGACGGTTGGGTGGCAGGGTCACAGAAGGTTTTTGAGACCTGCAAATGTGTCCTGTGAGGCTGACACACTGCCGTGTTCCCTAACGAGAGTCCCATGAACACAAGCTTATCAGCTGTCTTGTCAAAATAGAGTGTGCAACATTGCTGCGTTGAAAAGTGACTTCAGCCTTGCTGAAGGGTTTCATCAATCTGAGGAAACGATGCTTGGTGCCATAGATTAAACACTATGGTCTCAAGCGGAATGCATGTGAAGTTTCCAAAATATTTCCTCAAAGACTTTATTCAGTTTTGGTTTGTGACTTTAGCTGGAAAGCGTAAAGATGGACATGGAAAGGCAGTTCAGAAAGACATCTGTGAGGATTTAAATTGGGCAGCTTTCAGAAGATGAAAGATGTTTAAAGTTAAGGCCTTTATCTGCAAACAATAGTATATTAATAAACTCTATATACCATATTTACAAATGCATTCTCTTGTATTAAAACTAACAGTATTTTGTTCACAGTGCCGTTGTTTACAGGTAGCAATCCCATAATACTCTTGTATTTTGGCATGGGTATCAGTAGCACTTGGTATTTACAGAAAATGTACATGTATGAATATAAACATGCCACTGAATCTGAGTTAGCAATAAAAGACAGATTGGCTAATGGTGCAAAGGAATGAACTCTACAGCACCTTCCCCTCCGTCGGATAGGAAACGTGGATTCTGAAATTGGGAAGATGCCCAATCTCTGACCCGAAGTGGCATAAAGTCGGTAAGAAAACAGTGATCCCCTTGTTCCTTTTGGGTACATTGAGTAATCTTAGTCCAGAGTTTTAGATCCATTGTCTAGTGCATAAAATATAAAAGTTAAAAAGATTTATTATTTTTATAATAATAATTATTATTAAAATATAAGGTACTTTCTCTCTCACGTTCTCATTTGTGCTCTTGCACTTAAGACCAATATCCTCGGAGTTCCAAATATGCTGGTGTTTTGTCCTGCAGCTCAGCAGTCAGATGACATGCGGAAAATGCTCTGGACTTTGTACTGCTGCCTGTCACAGTGTGACCCAGGGCCTGTGGGGGACATGGCAGAAGCACCTCGTTCTTACTCTCCAGTCTTCTCCTCGGGGTGGCAGCCTGCCCCTGGAATCGGCTGCCACGTTACTGAATGGAGTTGCTCGTTTCGGCAGCTAATGCTGAGGTGACAAATGGCTTTCTGTACACTTGGAAACAGGAGGGGAGGCGGGTAAATAGGAGGAGGGTGGCATTTAGAAGAGGCCAAGAGCAAAACCCAGAGAGTGGCTGGGTTCATTAGCAAGAACCCCTCAGGACTTCTGCACCCTCTCGGAGGCCTCTGCTCACGGAGATTCTCTCGGGCTCAGAGTAGAGCGCGGGGTCTACGGGGCGCCAGCGTCCGGCTCAGTCTGCGCTTCCTTCTCGGTCCCCGGGCCGGCGTGCTCAGGGCCGCCGCCGCTGCTCCTGGGCTGCTTGTGCAACAGGCTCTTCCACTGGGCTTTGTTATGTGCGAGATGGCTTAGCATGTTCTCAGACAGGGGGCTGTTTCCTGTGAAGCGGGCCCATTCCCGGAAGAGCGGCTCCACGATGTAGGTCATGAAACCTGGGAGAAGAGCAAGGCGAAACTCATCACCATAAGGACACGAAAAACTACTGCTTCCCTCAAACACGATTAGGGCCCTTACTGTCTGCTGGCGCCGAGGTTATGAAGGCAAACAAGATGTGGTCACTGCCCAGAGTCTAGGAGCATAAGATGTGTCCCCGTGGGCTTGTCATTTCACCTCTATGTGTCTCAGTTTCATTCGTAAAAAAAAAAAAAAAAAGTCTGAGGGTACCAAATCCATAGGAGCCTCAACAATTAAGCTCTCAGATACAAACTCAAAGTTTGGCGGTTCAAACCCACCCAGTGGCTACTCCGCGGGAGAAAGACCTAGCTTAGCTATCTGCTCCTGGTAAAGATTAAACCAAACCAAAATCTGTTACCGTGGAGCTGATTCAGATTCGTAGTGACCCTATAGGACAGTGTAGAAGTACCCCATAGGGTTTTCTAGGCTGTAATCTTTACAGAAGCAGACTACCACATCCTTCTCCCATGAATGCCTGGTGGGTTCCAATCGCCAATCCTTGGTTAGCAGTTGTGCAGTTAACCACTGCGCCACCAGGGTTCCTTTGGTGAAGATTACAGCCTAGGAAACCCTGTGGGACAGTTCTACTCTGTCACACGAAGTCGCTATGAGTCAAAATCGACTTGTCAGCACCTAACAGCAGCAACACCCAAACCCACAGGGTCATGGTTAAAGAAAAACAAAACAAAACACCAAACCTCTTGCTGTCAAATAGATTCCAACTCATAGCAACCCTATAGGACAGAGTAGAACTGCCCCATATGGTTTCCAAGGAGCAGCTGGTGGATTTGAATGGCTGACCTTAACCACTGCACCACCAGGGCTCCTTAGGGTTGTTAGGACAATTAAATGACATAACACATGTCAAATGCTTAGAAGGTTCCTGGCAGGTAGTAAACAATAAATATTATTGTTTGTAGAAGGAGAAAGACATAAACAAAAAAGAAAAGCCTGAGTTGGTACAAAGGAGGATGGGTAGAGGGAGGGAGCAGAGGGCAAATGACTTCAGGAAGGGACTGCCTGTGGGATATTTTTTCAGGATTACAGTTTTATAGTTTTCTTACTTTCAAATATGTTAAACAACTAAGTTGAGGTAAATAACAGTTCATCCATTTTTAATACAGATTTTACCTACCTAAAATCCTGCTTTAATGATTAGCAAAGATTGTTTGATCTTAGACTTTGCTTGCATGCCTATTTTCTTGCTTATTTTAGGCTTGTTGCTTTCTAAATCATGTTTTGCTGTTAATGTGCTTTCCATACTACACATGCTGTGTTAGGCAAAGATAATGTTCAGTCTAGGCCTGAACTATTGGAATCATCATGAACTTGGCTGTGTTTAGGTTTTATTGTATCTCCTCGAAATGTAGATGTAGGAGAAAAGGCAATTGTTTTCAGCATAACAATATCTGCCGATGACTAATCCCATATGTTTACAGGAATGAAAATTATAAAGCTTGATTTGATCATCTTTTTATTGGACAAACAACAAGACACTTGACCTTTGAGGACAGTATAGACATAGGAGAAGGATGCAGCATGCAAAATACGATTGTACATTTCTGCAGTATCGCATCCTCTATGAAATATGACTTAAAATTATAAGATCATTTTCAATCATCGAAACCTGAGGAGGAAGGCTAAGCTAGCAACTTTCTGTCTGTATTTAGCATTTTGATAAGGTTATGTAGAAAGTCAGCAAATAAGAATTTCACAGTTTTTTGCTCTTCTTGCATTTTCTTTACCTCCTTCACAATCTCCATATCTAATTTCTAATGTCTTTCACCTTTAAAAAAAGATAGTTTGAAAAATTAAAGATATTTTTAAATTAAACTATTTAAAAAATAAGTTTCAAGTGTGAATACTTATCAAATTTACCTGAAGTATTAAAAAATTACAAAACCCAACATTTTAAAATCCGACATCTAAAAAAGCAACTCCTTCTCTTCCTGAATTTACTCTGGATATATATACTTATATTGACACTTGTCTGAGTCCCTGGGCAGTGAAAATGGTTAACTCACTTAACTGCTAACTGAAAGGTTGGAGGTTCGGGTCCACCTGAGGCACCTCCAGAGAAAGGCCTAGTGATCTACTTCTGAAAAACCAGCCATTGAAAACCCTGGGGAGCAGAGCTGTACATTGACACACATGGAATTGCCGTGAGTTGAAACTGACATGACAGCAACTGGTTTATTTACACTTGTCGGATATAAAGACATCTTATCTTACTAGGAAAGCTGTTTTAAAGTTTGAATAGAAAGCATGAGGCAGGTTTTCAAATAAAGAAAGGCTTCTGCATTATCAGATTTGGGAACCTGTTCTATTGGTTCTCAGCTTGTTGTGCCAATCCCCCATTTCTCCTCCAGCATGAGCTGACTTTGCCCTGGTCTTGTCCACGAGGGGTGGCAGTGGGAGAAGGGAGGAATGGTGGCCTCAAGGTAGACAGGGATTGAAGGAAAGCTTCTTTCCCTTCATCTTTCTATAGAGTTCACCAATTAGAGAGTTATTCAGTTTAATACCTTCTTTTCTTAAAATGCAGAATTTGATGGAGAGAGAAGAGGAGTGGGGGAAGGGGACATGAAGCCCTGGTTCCATTTGGGTAAATATGAACTACTTAAACAGAAAATCAGATCTAAGTTTAACTGAGACCAGCACACAGGACATTTCTCATTTTGGATGGGGACAGAAAAAGAGAGGAGACATTTTCATTCAGAGAGGAGTCAGAACAGAGGGAATAGCTGCATTACTGAGGACCCATGGGAAAAATCGTGTCTGGGTGACTGGAGCCCGCAGCTCCCATTAAACTCGATTTATCTATTTGGGCTTTTCCAGTTTAGTGTAATCTACTGCTGCACACCACACTGCCCAACCCTGAACCGACAGAGCTGAGAGATGTGGAACGGAGACCGAGAGATTCCTGTGTCAGGAGTTGTTTTACAATCACCTTCTCTTTCTCTGTATTATTGCTGTGCCAATGTACATCCATAGGATTTCCCTATTCGCTCAACCCCCATTTCATTTTTAAAACAGGTATCTATGGTAACTATATTTTCCTGAGCTGAAAATCAGGACATGCAATCTGACAAAATAAGTGTATTCTCAGGACAACAATGGGACAGCATCTCTGAAATCAGGTCTGTCTTGCGAATCCAGGTTGTGTGCTTAACAAGGTGAGCGCTTTTGTTTGGTGTTCAATAGGTCTTTAACAGTTGCCTGGCAATTTTTTTTTCTAGTTAGAACTCAACAAAGTGGGTAGGACTGTGGGTCAGGGTCTACTCATTTCGAATCACAGCTGCGGAACCTCCACCACTGGTAGGAGAGAACAGGATACAAGGAGCTGAGGTTGCGGTTCTGTTGCTATTGCTCTCTCCACCCCTCACAAGCAACTTCATAGCCTCATGTGCGCTGGGACCTATTTTTTTTTTTAATAACTTATTTATTTTAGTTGTTGTTGTTCTCGAGAATATACACAGCAAAACATACACCAATTCAACATTTTCTACCTGTATAGTTCAGTGACATTGATTACCTTCTTCAAGTTGTGCAACCACTCTCACCCTCCTTTTCTGAGTTGTTCCTTTTCCATTAACACAAACTCACTGCTCCCTAAGGTTCCTATCTACTCTTTTGAATTGCTGTTGTCAATTTGATTTCATATAAATAGATCTTAAAGGAGCATAGTGCTCAAGGCAGACATTCTTTACTAGTTAAGCTAAACTATTGTTTGGTTTTACGAAGACTTCAGGGGATACTTTTGGTTTAAGGTTTAAAGATTATCTCAGGGAAATAGTTTTGGGGGTTCATCTAGCCTCCATGGCTCTAGAAAGTCTGGATTCCATGAAAATTTGACATGGGTCCTATTTTTTATTAACTCCCCCCACTTTTTTTGGTGGAGGAATCAGTTGAATTGTAAAAGCAACATAAAAATATTAAGGATAATTTGAAAGAAAATGGATCACTAATAATCTCATCAATAATTCCAACATAACTATTTTCATATTTGTGTATTCCATTCAAATCTTTGTAACTAGATTAATTTTGTCCGTTTCCTTGGGATAACTTCATGAATCTTTTGTGGGACTGTGGATTTGATTTGACTTTCAGTGACTGCAAGCATATCATTCTAGTTTGCTCTGCTTTCATTACTTTTCAGTTTATCTTTCAGGATGTCCCCTTCCCTCTCAATGTTAAGGCTTTAAACCTTGGGCTTTGCAGAGGTGTGCAGCGCTGTGAATGCATTAAACTGTCTGAGGTCTGTGGGAAGAGGAAAAAAACACTAACTAACACGAGTCAGTGCCATGTTTATAAGAAAAAGTTAGTTTAAAATTCTGAGCTTGGTTTCAGTTGAAGAAAACTGCAAGGCAAAGAAAGACTTGCCTTAAATGTAGATGGAATTGGTGGAGTGTTTTAATGACCGATTGAAATTCTTATCTGATCAGAAATATTTCCTCCACTAAAATGCCTAAAATGTTCACTGTTTGATTTGCTTAATGATCTTATGCATAACTCAATTAGATTAAGTAATAATTATTTTGGATGCATCAACATCACACTTTAACATTCTATCGCAATTGACACTTAAAACAGTATGGTCCTAAGAGAATAAGACTGAAAATAAGTTTTGAAGTGAAGAGTAGGGAAGCATGGGATCCCAGGTCACAATGGGATAGCATGGCTTGAAAAACTTGGGCCTAGGCTTCTGGGCCCTTGGGAGTGAGTGTTGGGAGTGAGAGGGAGGTAGTGACCTAAACCGGAAGGTCCCTAAAGGCAGATTCTGCTGACTTCCCACCTTTCAAGCTTGGAAGAAAGTGTGAGTCACCATGCTCCTAAGCAGCAAATAGTTGATTCTTATTACCCTTTTTCTACTCTATTTGCTTATGATATGATTCTAAAATACAAAGCTAATACAGTTAGTTAAGGTTCTATAACAAAGCCTTTACTCTAATTTTCACTTGATAATACCTAATAGGTAAATCATGATTAGAGTGTTTATTTGGACTTAGCCATTCAAAGGAACATTGATTAAACCCTCCAGTCTGGATCTTTCAAAAAACAGTGCGTAGATCTTTTTTTTGTGACTCCTGGCACAGGAGCCAAAACTATTCGGTTAAAATTGAATTCAACTCACCAATTTGTATACTAGGGATTGAGTCTTTCTGTTGATTACAAAGAGGACTGATTTCCAGTTCAAATTTCTGCTCAAGGTCACCTAAGAAGAAGGAAGAAGAATATTAATAATCTAGAATTTGTATAAGTGTTGATAGTTTTTAACGGCCGCTTTGGAAGAAGTTATTCTGGGAATTACTGCTTCTTGCCTTGTTATCATTAGGAACTCTTCAGCACCATCATGTTCTGCCTTGCTCTGCTAGCTTCTGTGAAATATTAAGATTTCGGAGAGTCAATGATCATTTACAATAAGTTAATTGTAATTAGGGTGCTTTGGGATTAACTTTTGAATAAGAGCTAGAAAAACAAGAACAGAACTAATGGGTAATTTCCTAACGTGAAATGGAAGTTCTGGCTTTAAGCATAAAATCTATTTTATTAACCTGTTGCTAAGTATTCAATTTCCACTTGAAAACAACCAGGGATAACAATACGTAGGAAATGGGAGACAGGGACTGGAAAGATCTCTTTTGAGCGGCATCTTCAGTCTGTAGCTAGAAAATTAATTATAAACAAAGATCCAGTATCTTTCATTCTGATTCCTTAGAATTTTACCTAATGTAATGGAAGGTTAAAAAAAAAGTAAAGGTCAGAATAATATTTCTTTTTAATGCCTTTGTCAGCTAGAAGACCAAAGGAGAAATTCATCATGTAAAGCAGACCTCTGCTTTGTTTAAAATATTTTTTTCAGTCCTTCCTGAGGGTGAAAAATTGTGAGGATTTTTTGTGTTGGAAAACAGTAGGGTTAATCAGCAGAGAAGCTGGGCCTCAGAAACAGCTCAGTTCACAGCTGGGAATGTACTTACCGAAACTAGAGGGGTTAAAAATATAACACTTACCTAGGGCTTACTGTGTGCTAAGCACTTTAATACATTACTTAATCTACTCCTCATGGCAACCTCATTATAATCCCCATTTTAGGTCACCAAAGGGTTAAGTCTGAGGAGTTTAGAGACGTCTCCTCACAGTCGCTCTTCAACTCTGGATGGTAACAGCCTTCTGAGGACAGGCATGACACCAGTTAATATGGAAATGAATTCTCCCATAACCAGTTCCACTCCTCACCTCTCTATTTCTGTTAAGGGTGCTATTGATTTTTCAGTCAAGCTGGACACTTTGGCAGAATCATCTTTGATTTCTCCCTTCCTTTCTCCCTCCATAGTGAGGCACCAAATCCTGTTTATTTCCCTCTTGGGGACAGTCTGCCTGACCCTAGTCTGGTTTCTTAATAACTTGTTCTTAGTTTTTGCTTCTTAGCCAGACTCTCTTCCACTTCAATTATATATGTTGTCCTAAATCCGCTTTTTTTTTGATGACTTCCATTGCATTGTTTTCTGATTTAGCCTGGGGTACAGGGGCCTCCTCAAATTCGCCTTCTCTTTCTAACCTTCTATGGGACTGAGCTGGTCTAACATCAGGGATATGTTCCCACCTCAGTGCCTTTGCCCATTTCCATTCCCCTCTGTCTAAACCAGTGCTATACAATAGAACTTCCTGCAACAATGGAAATGTTCTCTGCACTGTCCAATATGGTAGCCTTTTGAAATATGACCCCCAAAAATTAGGAACTAAGACTTCAATTTTATTTGATTTAAATAGCCATCGGTGCCTTGTAGTTACCATACGGGAAAGTGCAGAACACTACACATCCTTCAATACCCAGCTTGAACCCTGCCTTCCTCAGCTACTAGATCTTCTCCTGTGACGTCTACCAGTTGTTTGATGGTTACTTATATGCCTCCAGATGATGTCTGCTTTACAGCTGCTTTGTACTGTTGTTTTCATGTGGGTATTGACCTTCCAACTTGATCACTTATTCATTCACTTATTCAATAGATATTTATAAAGCACTTGCTATGTTTCAGATACTTTGCTAATTAATGTAGAGAATGCAAAGAGGAAAATTGCATAGTTTCTTCCTTCTAGAAGCTTTGCTGATTAGTATTTTGAGGGTACAAAACACGAATAATTATACTTCTTTAGATCCTTCATAACATCCCCAATGGGGCTTTGTACATAGTAGGAAAATCACATTTGCGGAAGATTAGCCAAGGCTAGAAGTAGATGTTTAATAAAAACTTCTGGAACACTCAGTTGATTGAGAAGACACAAATTTGAAGTCAATCAGAACAGAAATTCTACTTCCTGAAGGGGTTGGTGAGGGCTTGGTGTTGGGAATCCTAGTGTCTGTTCTGAGAATTTAATACTGTTTTTCTAATTTATGTGATCTCATTTTCCTTTCCCCCTGTGTCCTTGACCTTGATTTTAGGAGTTTTCTTTTGTTCACCATCACACTGGAGTCATATTGGAGGTACTTTGACCGGGACTGTTAGCAGTCTGTGGAAGCCTGCTTGAAATGAGGAGGCTGGAGTGAGCTGGGCTTTGAGCCCAAATCCTAAACTGAAAGCCAGATAAAATTAATCAAAATGACACAAGTCATCCTTATAGAATTAAAAAAAAAAAAAATTCAGTATGGAGGAAAGGGAGTTTGAATGACCAGAGAGTCTTCTCTTCTTAAACATGCAGACTTCTGCTAGAGGATAAGACTATTACTAAATAAAAAGGGACTTGATATGTCTTCCCTACTCTCCTTCCTCTGCCAGGAGACATGCCAGAAGGCAAGGTGCATGAAATCTGATCTTTAGTGATCAGGTTACAAATGTTCTAGGGTTTTCCATCTTATAATGTTGCACATGCATATATTATTAGGACAGCAGTCAGCTTTTGCAAAGAGACTTTATAGATCATCTTTCTTGGCTGATCCCATTTTCCTCCACTTAGTCGACAACTTTGAATTCACCAACTCAACGGGGCCTTACTATGTGCCCAAATGACATAATCCCTGTCCCAAATTGTTTATAATCCAAATAAAGTGTAAGATGAGTAGATGAAGGAGTTAAGGGCTCTCACTACAAACAGTAGCACATGACTGAGTCAAAACAGAGCAGAGACTTCCAAGTATGCAGAGCCTAGGTCTTCTTTCTGTGCTAGCTCACTATTTTATATGTCACACAGTAAAGGAAGTGCTTATCATATTGAATCTAAAACCTCCTTGCTCCAATTTCATCATATTTCCTTTTGTCTTGCCCTCAGTGGAGATTGGATGTCATGGGCAACTAGAACTGATCCTTTGATTCCTAGCACCTCACACTCAATTCAAGTGAAATTACAGAGTTGTAGGAGCTACATGAGCACTTTTACTCTGAACGAAAGAGATGGTTAGAAGAGCCTTCTAGACCCACATGAACTCAATCAATTCTTCTTTGTTTTCTGTCTTTGGGGCCATCATGATGCCACTGACACATCTTTCAATGGAGGCTCACTGTTGCTATTTGACCTCCCCACAGAGCTGGTATATGGGACACTTGAAGCCTTATTTGTTCTCAGTCTCTCAAACTTGATCCTGCTACTAGCATCAGGGCACTGCTGTGCCTGAGCAAACATCCTGAACACTGAAACCAGGCCTGAAGGAACAAACCTGTATCCAAAGGCCGACAGCCCACCTAATGTCAGGATCCTGCTTGCTATTTCATTGCCTTATTTCTGAATGAGGTTGATCTTCGAAAAGTTATGCTCTAATATGGGGCCATTTGTCTTTTCATAGCAAAATTCTTTTACCTTACTGTTGAAACTGTTTGAAAGGATGAACTCAATTTTTGGTCAGCTGTGCTCTGTTTCATCATTAGCTTTACTTAAAGTGAAGGGAAAGAAGGAGTTCTTAAGGCCTTCTGTCAGAGCCGAAAAAATTGACCCCAGATGACATATTAGCCTTTAGGCTGTGCTCAGCTCATTAAGTGAAGGTCAGAGTAAAAATCAAATTGTCTTTCATATCCAGAAAGGAAAGCCATTTAAAAAAATATACATATATATAGATTTCCCTTTCGGTCTTTTTTATTGTACCTCATTACTACTTGTTTCTGTAGTAAGTGGATGTTATATATTTTAAATTTTTTTCCGTAAAAGGGCTGGGATGGTTTGCAAGAGAGTTACACAGAAAGGTTAGGATAATAAGAGTGGATGAAAAAGCAAATGCCACAAAAGATTAGCCGTTTCCCGTTGTATTAGAAAAATGCCTGAAAGGAGGAGGGACAACGAAAACTCAGCTGTCGGGTCCTTAACGAACCTTGCCTGTAGAATTCTTCACACACCCTTTCACTCCATTGCTTGCTCATCTCCCAGATTCTACAAGGATTGCAGATGTCAGCACACTTCAAGGCAATCTGAGAAATGACAGGGCAGGGAGAGATTGTCAGAGGCTGATCCTTTAGTAGCAAACGCACCCCAAGCCAAAGGGGCTGTAAAACTAGCCAGTCTGTGGGCACCTTCTGCCTCATGGTACCAGTAAAAATCAGTTGCTGTGCAGTCAACTCTGACTCACGGCAACACCATTTGTGTCAGAGTAGAACTGTGCTCAATAGGATTTTCAGTGGCTGATTTTTCAGAAGTAGATCACCAGGCCTTTCTTTGGAGACACCTCTGCGTGGGCTGGAACCTCCAACGTTTTGGTTAGCAGTCAAGTGCGTTAATCCTTTGTACCACCCAGGGACTGCCTGCCTAGTGGTACCAGCCCATATTTGCAGAGGGCCTCCCTGACAGGCGTCTTCAGGAAACAGCACTTATTCACCTCTACACAAAACCTTTATTCAGAACTCCTACCTATAGCAGAGAGAATAAGAGAAGAGCCACAGTCCAAGGACACAGAGCTTCCTGGAGGAGGCTTGAGGTGGGCAGGCCAAGGAGAACTCTGGCCTGGCTCCTGCTGCTGCCCCTCCCCTCGAAGGCAGGGAGGCCACAGGGATCTGAGCCAGGCTCAAGTGCAATCATTGGACCTCACTCTCATCACACTGACCTACTCTATCCATCACTTAAACTATGTATGTTTGCCTTTTCGTGCCCGTGTCTGTGTGTAAGTAAATGCAGACTACCAGCCTTGGAGCTAACTCATATCAAATGTAGGCGTGTTTCGTTTGCAGAGCTAAATTAGGGCCTGCTTGGCTTGTCTCACACTGGTCTGGATCTGGAATGTCAGCTGTGGTCAGTGATGCTGCCCCGAGCAGGGTTACCTTGAATTCCCAGAGAAGCAGAATTTCCCCCTTAACCACCAACTGCTGAGAGGCCTGAATGGGCTCCTGGTGGCGTCTCCCACCCACCAGCAATGTCCCTTTGTTCTGATCCAGTTCCTTGGGAGCTCAGAACCACTGGCAGTGAGGGGGTCTGGGAGAGACTTGATGACATTAAGTTGCAAATTTGGTTGTTTATTTATTTTCTGGTTAATGGAGGGACCAGTTTGTGTTGGAGTAGGTAAGGGCAGAAGTCCCCTCTAGGTTCCGTCTGTTAGGGATTCACTTGAGTTAGCAGCCTTTCTTTTGAAATACAAGCGTTTAGGCTGATTCTTTTAACTGCATAAGGCCTTGGCTTCAGTCACTAAAATCAGACACCTAGCTGATATTTGTAGCACTCAGGGACTAGAAGATTAGCCTGGGAATAAAGGAGGGAGACATAGTTCTACAGCTGGGGGTAGGGTACTTCCTGGGAAGGATGGAGTACTTCAGATAGCTACAGAGGACAGCCTGCGTGTGGGACAGGACAAAAAAGACTGTACAATTCAGTCTACCATGTGGAACTCCATCTCCCTGGTGAAAGCCGGTCTACCTAGATCAGCTCAGGGTCCATCCATTCAGTCTTTTGTACCAAAAGCAAAAAATGGAAGACAAAAGAAAATGGAAGACCAAAAAGAAGGCTCTAGTCAGACTTGTACTTCCAATGTCCATTCCTTTTTTTGTTCTCATGTTAGAGATGGCTTCTTGCTAAAAAAGGCTGGTCTTGATGCAATTAAATTAAATTAAACTTAAAATCATTAATTTATTGGTGCCCCAAAATGGTAACACTAGGTAGATGTGTTTGAACCTCGGATGAAAATAAGGGTTTAGGTAGTAAAGCAAGGTTTGATTAAATAGGTTTGGGGTAAAGGAAGGCTATTGGTTTTTCCATTTGGGGAGTCACTATAGTTAATATAATACACTTTCGTGTTACAGAAACAGTCTTTCAAATTGCCCAGGTAGCACATTGGTCAAGTCTCTACCAAGCCACAAAATGTGACAAACACTTACTGCACGCAACCACCCGTGCGGTTACGTTGTGGTGAAGCAGTTCCCAAACAAGGAAACGTGTGATATTATCAGCCCGCTGACATGAAACCCAGGCTTTACTTGCTTGAAAACCACTTAAAAATTTCACGTGTCACGAAGCTTTTAAGAAAGTAGGCCGCTGCTCTAACTTATACCATGGGAGATACTTCTTAAATGTACTAAAATTATCGATCATGTTCCTTAAGTGTTTTTATCTGGCACGAATAATTATTTATTTATTTATTTATTTTTACCTGAAGCATAAAGTGCCTGTCGTGTGCATCCTCCAGTCTTAAATCTTTATTGTGGAGGTGAGCTTTCAATCTGGTCAAAAATTCATTCTGCCTGTTGATGTCTGTTGCTAAGATCAAGGAGCCCAGCTGCTGTTCAATATCCTGTCTGCATCCACAAGAATGAAAGACAAAAACACACACAAAAGCAAATCCATTTGAGAGGGTGATTAATTCTCTCATCATTGGGTGGCTGGCTTGCAATCTGTTGCCACCTTTGATTCTGTGTATTACACAGTGTCCCACCCCAACACAGTCCAAGAGTGATTCTTCTCACCCACCATCAGTTCTGTTCCTGGACACAGGCATGCCAAGGGCTATATAACCAAACCAAAAAACCATTGTCCTTGGGTCGATTCCAACTCATGTCAACCCCATGTATTACCCTAGTATCATTTTTCCCTCTGTAGTTCATCCACTTTCTTTACTATTTTGTATTCTACAATGTGCTGTTATGTTAAAACACACATAAGAAAGCACGGTAAGGAATGATATCTATGATCACAGAAAAGAGTTCAGAAAGATACATAGTAGAATTACAGATGATTTTCACTTTCTTTTTCATATTTCTCAATATTGTATGAATTTTTAAAAATCATTTTATTCTTTTTTTAAATAATTCTTTAAATTAAAGTTATTAAATTTATATTAGCAAATACGTTTTAGTTAAGTGAAATTTTTTATAAATCAAATTAAAAGGCAAACTAAAGACTTAATATTTACAACATAAACAGAGTTGCTGTAATTAATGTACAAAGAATTCTTACAAATAAATAATAAATTACACTGAATAGGAAAATAGAAAAAGACCAAACACAAAAATTTGTTCACAAAAGAAATAGCAATAGCCAGTAAATACATGAAAAAATTTCATTATTTGTAATGAAAAGTTGTATATTAAATCGATCAATCTCTCTCCACACACACACACACACACACACACACACACACAGAGGTATATATATCAAATTGGCAAGTATTTTTAAAAAGATGATAAAAACAAAACTAAATTTTGGTGATGTTACTTTGGTAGACTTTCTCATAAGCCACCAATGGATATACAGGTAGACAGAGCTCTTTGGAAAAGCAATGTGATAATGTACAACAAGAACCTTAAAAATTCATATATTTCTGACCAATCATTTCTATCCATAAATATTTTCTGAGAGCTAGAGTATCAGAGCTGGGATAAAAAATATGTTTCAGAATATTTGTTGAGCATTATTTATAATGACAAAAATTTGGAAAGTATGCAAATTCCAAACACTTTTCCATTTCATCTTGTTAAACATATTTTGGTGCAATAATGTCATGTAAACATTAAACTCACTTTAGTAACATTTTTAACCATATGGAAAAAGGCCTTTATAGCAAGTGAAAATATCAGAACACAAAATACAAAAAATAAGTTCCACACTTTGTTAAAATATGGTTGTATTTAAAAAAAAAAGGCTAAAGGGAAATACACCAGCCAGACTAATATTAACTATTCCTGGATGATAGTATTACCAATAATTCCGGTGTTCTTTGTATTAGCTTGAACCATATGAAACTGCTAATAATCTACTATTTCTGAACTTCAGAAATAGTAACTTCATATGGTTCAAACTAATACTTTTCTGAATTTTCCTGTTTGTACAGTAAACCTAACTTACTAGATGAGGCTAGAAGGACTAACATGATTTTGATGATGATAGTTTTCGTTATAAAGTCCTTTCACATGTATTATTTTATAACAATTACTCTTCTAGCAAAAGTAACTTACAACAGTGTGTTGCACAAAGGCACATAAAAATCCGTTATTTCATTTGGAGTCCATAGGGGTCAGTGGGATTATTTTAGGAAGAGAATACTAATTGAGCAACCAGTCAGATTGATGTGGGTGTTCCAGGGACAAGTCAGGTCACACCAGGTCCTTTCATCTCTTTTCCCCTTTCCTTTTGTTCTTTCCTAACCTCCCTCTCCTTCCTTCCCCTCCCATCTTTTCTTTCTTTAGCTGTCTCTCCCATCTACCTCCTCTTTCCTCCTCTGCTACTTGATGTCTTGCTCTATTTTTAGTTCTTTTTGCATTTAATCCTTTCAATCTTTGTAGTTTATTGTTCTAGTAAAAGGCACACGTTTTTATTCCATGCATGAGAATTGGTTTTATTTAGTTCCAGGGGGTAAAAAGTTATCAGAACTGAAGTTCCTCCTGCAAATTCCACATTCCTCTGGGTGCTAGGAAACAGTATGAGATAGTATCAGAGGGCCAGGAATAAACCCACAACCCCAGACATGCTGCTTGTTCTGGGGGAGGCACACTTGGCCCTTGACCTTAATGTGCCCTCGGTAAGAAGGACGCAGTGATTTATTTACTTCCTCTCACCCAGCTCCCTTGGGTTCTGCACAATTTAATTAAACAGATTGGGATTCGTGGTGGCTTTGAAACAGTATAGTGGCTAACTTGGGGCCACGTGGAAAATGAGGCAATGGCCTTGGGCTTAATAGGACTCGGCCTAAATTCTTGAGCTAACAAAACAGCAGACCAGGAAACTAGTATTTCCTCTTCCATTTAAAACATTACATAGGTAATATTTACATAATTTACATACGTGAATTAATGTTGAAAAAATTGTTGCAGTCAATTCAATTACTTAACAAAAGACATATTTTTGAAACTATTTTGATTTCTATTTTTGCTAAAACTGGCAATTACACAACCCACTTTATTGGACTAGCCGTTAATCTAGCTTGAGAACTCTGGTGTTCCTTCTTGACAAATATTTATTATTTGGATCCACATGGGAGGACACTTTTGCTAACTAACATAAAGGACAGGATTTTGGCACAGCAGAGTGTTGACGGTGAAGTGTAAAAGCTGAGAACTGTTTATTATTCCTTTTCCTGACTCTAGGTCATAGCCTAGTAAAGGGCCTTTCAACGTGCACGGAGAGATTCTGGTTTCTGGGTTGGTGTAACCGACACCGAATGTCCGTCAGATAGACGGTGGTGCAGGAAGCAAGCATAGCTGGCTGGCTCCCTGCCATTAACTCTGGGGGTCTCAAACATGCCCTAGAGAAAGCCGCTTATCTTCAGTGTGTGGACATCAGTACGTTTCATCTCCACAGCACTTACGTCATTTCCTTTGGCAAGTGAGCAAGAAGCCTTGATTCTCGAAGCATGCCAATTGTAGATCGCCAGTGGTGATTCTCCAGCACAGAGATATTCTAGAAAGAAAGAAAATAAAAGCTATAAATGAGAGAGAAACCAGATACTGATCTTTCATGCTGAACATAGCTCCATGGAAGCCAGCATTTTCCCTCCAGCGATTGCCAGTTCATACCTGATGACACAGAGCTGGACCAAAAAAGAAACACAAAATAAAATAACCCCAAGGCCTAGTCTCAAGGCTATAATGACAGTGGTGTAGCTGCAGGACACTTGCTGACCCTCCACCGCAGGGCTGAATGAGGGTCTACCTCCAACGTCATTCACTCCTGCCTCTGCTCCTATTTTCAGTAGTTTCGTCAGGCAACACTAAATGTAGAAGAAAGAAACTGAAGCAGGTGAAAATAGGTAGTTATGAATACCATGGGGCTATATTCAGAATAGGGGTGGGTGGGGGCTGTAGTGGTTCTGTGGTAGAATCTTGCCTTCTATTTGGGAGAACCTGTTTCCATTCTTGGTCAACTCATGAACAGCCATCACCCATCTATCAGTGGAGGCTTGTGTGGTTGCTATGATGCTGTACAGGTGTCAGTGGAGTTTTCAGACTAAGATAGACTAGGAAGAAAGGCCTAGTGATCTACTTCCAAAAATCAGCCGATGAAAACCCTATGGATTGCAACGGTTTGATTATGGGGATGGTACGGGACAGGGCAGCGTTCCATTCCATCGTGCATGGGGTTGCCATGAGTTGGGCTGACTCAATGGCAGCTCACAGCAACAACAACGTTCATAACATAATCCAAGATTATTCTAACAATGGAACAGAGACGAAGCTCACAATCTCTGGTCTGATCCACTGTACTGACCATTGTTTCTCAACACTGATAAAAAGCTCCTACATCTGAATCACCTGGGCAGCTAGTGACACATTCAGACTCCTGAGTCCCAGTCTATACAGTTTTGATTCAGTAGGTCTGCAGTGATTGATTCCTATGTACACTTAAGTTTGGAAACCATCGCTATGGAAGCAACTATCACTAACCTTCTTGATCAGTATACTGACATTTAGCCCTTTAGGTCTAAGAGTTTGAATCCATAATTGCTTCCTTGTTCAGATGTGTTGATATTTGTTCCCTTGCAGGAACCTCTACTATGCCCAGTCTCTCCTTTGACCTTACTGTTATTCTAAACATGCTTGTTATCTGAACATTTAACTAATCATTTAACCAATGAATATTTTCTACAATTCATTGTGTTTTGTTTTAATTAACAAATATTACAGCCTTACCACTGACTTCATATATATAGAATTAAATAAAAACACAAACAAACCAAACCAGTTGCTCTCGAGTCATTTCCGACTCATGGCAACCCCATATGTGTCAGAGTAGAACTGTTCATAGGGTTTTCAATGGCTGTGACCTTTTGGAAGCAGATTGCCAGGATTTTCTTCCGAGGTGCCCCCGCATGGCTTCGAACCACCAACCTTTTGGTTAGCAGTTGAGTGCTTAACTCCTTTAACCCCCAGGAAGGGTTACAAGCTTACAAAAACATAAGATAGTATTCATTAAAAGCAAGGGGAAAGAAGCAAGGAAAATAATGTGGAGACTCAATGGAGCCAGGAGTGACTTGAAGAATCATCTCATCATTATGTCCCTACTACATCTGAGCCACCCACATAAGACTTTTTCAGCAAATGAGAAAAGAGAACTCCCGTGAGTGACACAACCCAGGGTCCACGAGGAAAACACAAGTTCAAGAAAACTGCAGCTATTCTTGGTTCCAAAACCAGACAATGATTTCTTCTCCAGGACTTTGTATAATGAGTTTCATAGGACTGAATTTAGACCCATCCTTTGTATAGGCTGGTACATTGCTATACATTTCTCCCATTGCCAGGGAGTCATTATTCTTTATTCACTACTTGACCATGTTTGAACTGGCGATGAGATTTCATTATTTTTGTCAACTGGCCTATTATCTCCTTTTGGGCATGAGCCACACACAACAAAAGAGAATGTTTATAAGAAGTAATATGCTAGACTAATTTGTTTTGATTGTAAAGATTTATAAAAGCAGAGAATGATAGATTAGTGTGATGTAACAGATGCTCTATCCTGTGATGACATTTCATTCAATCACTCATGAGACTTCACTTGCAAGACTAATTTAAATAAATGTGGACCTGAGTTCCCTCATGCGAGTTCTTAAAAGGGCCAGAAAAGTGTAACAAGACTTAATGATAAACGACACAACATTGCTGTTGAGTGGAACAAAAGTGTCTGGAGGATCGCCTTGAGCATTGTTATTTATGCCAGACTGACTTAACATCTTCATTAATAATCTTCCTGAAGACAGAATAAAAGGATACTTGGGAAATTTGCTGGTGAAACCATATTTGGAAATGAGCCCAGGAAAATGGAAGAGAATTGAGTGGGCTTGGAAGCTGGCATAGAATAAAAGATGATAGATCATACAATTGTACTCCACTCCATGCCTTGCATAGAGTAAGTGCTTTCTATAAATTTGCTAAATAAGTGACTAAACAAATTACTTGAATTAATTCAACAAATACATTGAGCGTTGACTATATTTGACACTGTAATACATGCTTGGAATACATAAGTAAACAAAACAGACAAGGAGCTAGTGTGGTAGGGATGGGCAGAGACAGACAGTAAGCAATAAACCTAACAAATACTTTCATTCTGAAAATGATATAGCGTGGTAGAAGATGGTAAGTGCACAGAAAGAAGGAAAAGCAGAGCAGACCGTCCAGGGTAGATGTTAGTAGGGTAGTCAGGGGGAGAGGTGAGATGTGAACAAAGACTTGAAGGTGGGAGGGAGTTAGCCAGTTAGCCGTGCTGGTATCTGGGGGAAAGTGTGTTTCTAACAGAGGCAGTAGCTGAAGCAAAGGACTCAAGGTGAGAACACACAGCCAGGACGTCAAGTGCAGCGAGACAGGAGAGAATATTAGGAAATTAAGTTAGAGAGGCAATGAAAGACCGGATTCTGCATGGCCTCTGGCCATTATAAGGATGGTGGCTTTTACTTTAAGTGGAATAAGGAGCCACTTCAGGGGATTGGGAGGAAAGAATTACATGGTTTACATTTTAAAAAGATCACTTTGGTTGCTATGTTGAAAATAGAATTTGATGGAGTTAAGAGTAGAGGTAGGTACAAGTCGGCTTGGAGACTATAGCAGTCATCCAGGCACGAGATGATAGAGGCTTGGACCGAGGAGGCGGTAGTGGGGGTGGTGAGAGGTGGTTGATTTCTGGATTTGCAAGGATGACTCCAATATGTCTGGACTGAGTAACTGAAAGAATGGGGTGTCCATTAACTGATGGGGAGGCTGCAGGTGGAGCAAGTTTAGAAGAGTTCTGTGGTGGACATGCTAAGTTGGAGACATCCATTAAACAAGTGAACATCACAGTGGAGATATCAAGTAATCAACACAGAAACAACAAAACAAAAGGAAAATAGTTGCACAAGTATTATAAAAATTCAGGGGTAAGAGAGAGAATGTTACGTAAATGGAAGGATCAAGTGGAGTACATCATTTTGATGATTTTAGGTTTAAGACGAAGCATCAAGTGTGGCAGAAACCCCTGTTTGTGTATCCCCCCAAATTCATTTCCCTTTCCTCCTTATTTACAGAACCTCAGTTTTTAGACGGTCCCACGGCTATTCAGAATAAAGACATTTCCCAGCCTTCTTTGCAACTACCCACTGCCATCGAGTTGATTCTGACTCCTAGTGACCCCATAGGGTTTTCAAGGCTGTAAATCTCTACGGAGGAAGACTGTCACATCTTTCTCCCATGGAGTGGCTGGTGGTTTCAAACTGCCAGTCTTTCGGTTAGCAGTCGATTGCTTTAATCCTTTGCAACTAGGTGAGATCGTTTGGTTACGTTAACCAGTTAATTGTAAGTAGAAGTTCTATGTAAGATTTTTAGGAAGGTTGTTTAAAAAGAACTGACTTATCTGGGAAAAGCCTCTTTTTCTTCTTCCCATTCTTTCTTCTCACTGTCTGAGGAATTAAGGATGGAATGGCAGACTTCTAGCAGATGCCTTGGAAAATGAGGACAAATGCCACACTCTAGTGATGGCAGTTGTAGAATTGAAAGGATGCCATGCCCCTGATGACTTTGTGGAACCACGATGCCTACTCTGGGCTGCCAACCTCCAAACTTCCTTTATGAAGCATAGAAATAAACTTCTGCCTTGTTTAAATCACTAATAAAACCAAAAACCAAACCCACTACTGTCAAGTCGATTCTGACTCATAGGAACCCATAGGACAAAAGTAGAACTGTCTCATAAGGTTTCCAAGACTACAACTTTTACGGCAGCAGACTGCCAAATCTTTCTCCCATGGAGCTGCTGGTGGGTTTGAACCACTGACCTTTTAATTAGCAGCCAAGTGCTTTAACTACCACGCCACCAAGGCTCTGTTACACCAGGTAAATTTAAAGTTAGTTTATCGTCTTCCAAATCATCATGAAAAAGTTGATGAAAAGGACTTTTCAATGCCTAGATTTATAATAATACTTGGTTTTTGCATAAGAAATGATAATAAAGAATTTTATAACCCCAAAAAGAGTGAAGGAAATCACCTTAATAATGTTTACAGTGTCAGAAACACACACACGCATGAACACACATTATTTACTTATCTACGAGACAAATTGTCTTCTGTAGGAAAGCTTTGTCTCGTTCCCCAAACAGAACTGACTGCTCTCTCTTCTAGGCACCATCATGCCCCAAGCTTCCGTTCTAGCGCCTACAACACCTTATAACAATCTTTGTTCAGCAGCCTTGTTCCCCCATATCGTATGTGTCCCATGTGGTCTTCATATGTTTTTGCTCATTTATTACTGAAAAAAATTTTGAAAAACTATGCTTCTCACACAATTTTAAAAATTGATATCTAAGATTTTAAAATCATAACTTTAAGTGGTTACAAAAGATACAGTGTCCTGTATATTTGTGAATTCTGGTTCTTTAATATGAAATCATTATATCACTCTTTTATGTATTACATGTATCTAAGGGAA